CGAACAGTTTTAAATACAGTGGTCAACAGTACTTAAATAAATATGAAAAAGAGAATGAGATTGACGTAGAAAAGGCGAGAGAAGAGCATCGACAACTGATCGAGACGCTTAAAAAATGCGAGGTACGAGTTATCGAACTTCAAGAGGAAGAGGACTACCCCGAGTGCTGTTTTGTGGACGATTCCGCTGTCGTAATCGGTGCTACAGCCCTTATCACTAGGCTAGGACAAACTACACGTCAGGGAGAGGTAAGTCACTTCATAGAATCTGAATTTAAAAGAGGTGGAAAAAGGGGTGGGGGTGACGCGTGTGACACGATCATACTTTTCGATGACTCATGAAGAATGACTACAGTTTGATCAGTGTAAGCGAGTTGCTGCTTAACAAATTTATGATGAATTACTGAAAACAAAACTATTTCAATGTTTAGGTCTGATTTACAAAATTTTTGGTGAATATTGATCTAATGAATGTCAAGAGTTCATATTTCCAAAAGTATTGGTCATAGGCCTACAACAAGCCTTGTTTACATTGTCGTAGTGTGGTAGTGTGAGATACACAGCATCCTACTAGCTTGGACTAGTGGGTTAACCCTTTAGCTCAATCGGTTGAGCATTGGTCATTGGACAAATGCCAGAGGTCCAGGGTTCAATCCGAAGTGGAGGCACTTACACCAGGTCCAGCACAATACCCTGATAAAGGTATATAGCTTGATAAAGCTATATAGCTTTATCAAGGTATTACAAATACTTTGATCAAGGTATTTTATGTAATGAAAATACAAAAAAAATTCTAAAAAAATAAATACTGAAAGTCGAGTTCTGAATTGTTGTCAGTAAATTCACTCATGCATGTAAAGTACTCAAACACAAAGAAATCGGTAAAAAGCATGTCGTGTGAGGAGACGTTCTTTTATGCTGTCCTTTTTGATACCTGAGTACTTTTCATGCACGAGTGAATACACTGACCACAACTCATAATTCGACTTTTAAGAACATACGCAACATACCTTACCTACTGATAATTTTTCAAGATATTCTTAATTTAAGATTATAGTGCCATCAGATGTTCGTCGACAAAAAATCAGCATGCATTACCAGGGGTTTTGAAAAGATATCTATCGATGAAAATTCTTGTATAATTCAAAGAAAAATACATAAAAATTACTAAACACATATTCTAGATTTTTTGTTTATCCAAACTTGTTTTAGAAGAAGTGTACAATAGCATATATAGACATACAAATGTAGCACACAATTCCTTTAAGTATTGGAACTCTTCAACTCCAGGGAAAAAGACAATAAAGTTCAAACTACGTTGCGTATGTCCTTAAATTTAATTTTTTAAGATTTTTTTTTTGTATTTTCATTACATAAAATACCTTGATCAAGGTATGTGTAATACCTTGATAATATTTATCAAGCTATATACCTTTATCAGGGTATTGTGCTGGACCTGTACATGTCTCTGTTACATTTGATGCCCACGTTGGGACCGGGGTATTCTCTGGCGGGTGAGAGTGATTGCCCTCAGATCTTCACCCCACAGGCATCGGCACTCCAAAAGAGATGAGGACATCTCATTCTCTGGAGAGGGACAATGTGGTAGTGTAAGATACATAGCATCCTACTAGCTTGGACTAGTGGATTAACCCTTTAGCTCAATCGGTAGAGCACTGGACTAATGCCAGAGGTCCCGGTTCTATCCCAAGCGGAGGCACTTACATGTCTCTGTTACAGTAGTGTATTATGAATCAATGTGCCTCATATCTTCTTAATCTTTGTTCCCTCTGATGTGATCAGAAATATTCTTGTTTATTTAATTTCAGGTTGCAGAGATTCGTAAAGTACTGAAAGATCTGAAATTTCGTATTGTGGAGATTGTTGACCCTGATGCCATTGTGGAAGGAGGAGATGTACTGTTCACAGGTAAGTCTGTGTTACCTTTTATTCACAGTTAAGTGTCACCAACCATGACTAAAACACAGATCCGCAAAACTGAACTATGAACTATTCAAACTGACAGTCTTCATTTAACTTCATTTAACTTAAACTTAATGTTTTGATTTTGGTGTCTTTAATCTTTAAACCAATTTAATTCTTCATCATAAGAATTTTTCCCCCATTCTGATTTTATATGTTACAGGTATGTATGTTTGACTGATAATCATGCTGATTATCACAACATTATAATTCATGAATTTTGATTTTGTTTCAGGGAAAGAAATTTTTGTTGGCCTGGAACAGGGAAGAAGAACAAATGAGCGGGGAGCATCAGCTGTTGCGGATGCTTTCCCAGAATACAATGTAACCCCTGTCCGAATTGATGGGCAGGTCCAGCTGAAATCTCTGGTGTCCATGGCAGGGAAGGACATCATTGCCGTGGGTAACAGTCAGAATGCGAACAGAGTTATGCAGGTAAATATCGTAAATGTCCAACATGTTTCTTAATGGATTACTTATTTTTCTCTGACGCATACCATACACATTTGAATTTCATATAAATAATTAATTGTAATATTATCAAGAAGTATGTGATACTAGTGTTGTACCGATAATCAGAAAACATCGATTGTCGACGAAAAAATGCTACCGATTCCAATGATCGATTATAATTTTTCATAATTGATCATTGGAAACATACTTCTAGTACAATACATTCCAGAATTATCCATTTCTGGTTTAAAATTTAATTCTTCTTAATGAAAGATAATGGTGTTTGCATCTGATACTAGCCAACTAGTGGAAGCAGAGGTGATTAAGAACCGAGAGGTGCACATAAAGGGCCTAAAAAATTATGTTTGTTTCCTGTAACCCGACCGACCCCTTCAGTTTACTCCTGGTTGGATTTTTTTTCTCTCAAATCTGTGTTTGCTCTTTGGTTTGATCAATCAGCTGATTCTTTTTATTCAAAAATATTAATTGTATCTTTTATTTGAGATATAAAATATGCAACTAAGTCAACATTTAGCTTAAATCTAAAGAATAATTAATTCCCCCCACAACTTTTTGAAGTTCGTTTTCTGCCGCTAGGCAGCCATATTGGGTGTCCACTGTAAATATAACATCTGGATAATTCAGTCCTAGGATGATTGACCCTATTATTCATAAGCAGAAAAGTCCCGACCTACCGACCCTTGATTTTTTGGGAATGTTACAGGATACAAACAAACATAATTTTTTTTTAGGCCTAGAAAGTGTAAAAGAAGCAAAACAACAAAGAAAATAATATATAATACATTTTATATATTCATGTTAAAGAAATAGTATGAAATAATTGTAATAGTCTGTTTTTTGTATACAAAACTATGAAATCCAATTTTAATTGGTAAAATTGTAGGAGTGAAACGGTTCACTGCGGTATCGATTCACCGCGGTAATTTTTCTCGGTTTGATACACGGTGCAAAATCTCTAATTTTCAGTTCGGTTCATTTTTCGGTCGGGATCATTATTCAGTCGGGTTTGGCATAAGGTAAAACACGTTACTTAATATAAATAAGTATAGAAAACGTAAATTTTTGATGACTGATAGCTTGTAAAATAATTTTTGACAGTCAAATAATTTTTATCAATTTCTTCTAGTCAATTTGCAAATAAAATTCGTAAAATATGTGACTAGATTTAGAAAAAGAAAGCATAAAACAATATGAATTTGTTTCCTTCTATCAAAATATATCGTATCGAAAATAACCGAACCGAGACAAAATTATACAATACGTATCAAACCGTGAAGGAGGTGTATCATTTCACCCTTGCATCGGAAGCAGTAACCGATTCCAACCGATGATCGATTATGAAAATTAACCGATGTCCCATCGCTATGTGATACAGCAAGTTAATATTTTACATTGGATTAGAATAATTTTGCACACAATCTCAGTACAGTAAAACATGCTTATAAGGAAGTGCCAGGGACGGACAATTTTGCTTCATTATAAGCGTAATACGTTATACCCTTTAAGTTTACAATATGTTTTAAACTCACAGGGAATGACAATCACTTCACTGTAAGCATCAATTCATTATAAGTGTGTTCGCTATAAGTGTGTTTTACTGTATTCCCATTTCTCACAAGGAATTAATCATAAAGTGAAATGATAGAATATAATGATATATTCAGGAAGTTTACATTTGCTATGATTTAGAATACTAAACTGTTGATTATATATTTTTGATGACATGAAAATTAAATGTTTTTTTTCATAGCAAATCAAGCAAGTGGCACAGTACAGTTATCATATTTTGAAACTTGACAATGATAAGGCAGCTAACATGTTGTATGTAAATGGCCGACTGATACACAGAACCAGGGAAGAAATCGGGGATAGCAGTTACAGTGTAAGTACTCACAATAAAGTTAGTTAATGTAGTAACATTAAAAATAATATACAAATCTATACACTGAGTAGAACTTATAGAGTAGGACCTTGCACTATAGCTAACGAATTAACTCAGTAATGTTAGTTTATTTGACAAATCTATACACTGGGTAGAACTTACAGAGTAAGAACTTGCACTATAGCTAACTGATTAACTAAGCAGTGTTAGAATATTTTACAACTCTATACACTTGGTAGAACTAATATATTTTTAAGTTTTCATTAATCAAATAAATTATTTTAAAGCCTTTGCATCAAAAAAAGTTTTATGTTCAAGTCAGGTATTTTCCAAAACTTTGAGATGTGACAACTTTATACAGGATTTCAGTACAGAGTTATTTCTCTTGTTTTAATGTGCTATTTTTAAAAGATTAGGCAGAATACACAAAATAAATTAAAGGAAATGTAACAGTTTGATTAAAAACATAAATTTTCACATTGAAAAAGAAACAGATTTAATGTCATATTTCTTTGCCATAATTTTTGTATTCTGAAGGAATTAATAAATAAATGTATTTATCATGGGTGCTAAGCATTATTTGTACCCGTGGGAAAGTAGGCGGGTTTGTTTTGATACGGGTGTTGGATTTATACAATGATTGACTATTTATATAGTAACAAGTACACATGAGTAGAGATGTTATTGAAGGGCGAGTATTGTGTAAATGTGCCATTCGAAGGCTCAGATTCTAAATCATTCCACGTTTTATCCATGTTACAATGTCCGAGCACGAGGACACAGAGCTGAATCTTTTATACGAAACACCAACTCAAGGCCGCTCTCAACAAGTTTCAAGGGCTCCTGAGGTTCAGTCTACTCTTGGGAATACTAGTAATGTGAATGACTTGGCCGATGCAGTAAGTTTATTCAAAAGCGTCATTGACTCTCAATTTGCTTCTCTATCTGAAAAACTTCTGACCGAGCAGAAAGTTAACGCTAAAAGTCTGTCAAAGAAGATTAAAGAAAGTAAAAGTACACGTATTCAGGGTGAAGGCAATAGAATTCAGTACACTTTTAACGAAGAAATAATTGAAGACCTAGAAAATCTGTCTATCATCCTTAAAGACAGTTCGGCTGTATCCGTCATTAAAGAGATTAAAGAAAAATTGCAGAAACGTAATAAACTCATAAGAATTGCAGATAATAGTCCAGCTGGTTGGAAGACCGTAAGAGAATATGAACAAAACGATTATGCAGACGACTCTGATGACGATAAAAAGATACGAAGTGCGGAGTCACGGGCCATGCGGCAGAAGTTCCGAGGCAGGGGACGTCCTACACCGTACAGCCGTCTGGTGTCAGCAGCGGCGGGGTCCCCGGCGCAGCTTTCCTCTGGTAGTTTTGGTGGTTATCCTCTACTCAGTCAGCCCTTTCGTGCCTTTGGGGGTTCAAGGAGAACCCCACAGCCTTCAGACTTGTGTCACAGATGTTTTAAGACCGAACACTGGAAAAGTCGCTGCCCCCTCAATTACACACAATCCACCACAGGGTCTGCAGGAGCAAGCACATCAGGCGGTCAATGATGATAAGTATTGTTATAGTCCAAGCTGGTCTGGTATTCTCGATATTTCAAAAAGTATCAAGGAAATTTTGATTTCTTATGATAGAAAATGTAATCAAATAAAAGGTAGAGTCAAGAAAAGTTTGTTTCATAATCTTCAGTTTTGGAAAGAAATAGATGCTTATGATTCGTTTTTTTTCTATAATTCAAAATGAATATTCTCTTGATTTTGAAATTCACCCCCCCCCTTCAAAGCATTTCGAGAATAATAAATCAGCTATGTTGAATGAAGATTTTGTTTCAGGAGCAGTTCAGAATCTGATAGACTCAGGTAGAGTAATTCAGTTACATGAAAAACCATATATGATCAATCCACTGAGCGTAGCAGAAAACCACGAAAAGAAAAGGCTTATTTTAGATCTTAGTTTCTTGAATAATTTCGTACGGAAAGAAAAAGTAAAATTTGAAGATTGGAAAATCGCTATACAATATTTCAAAATAAACTGTTTTATGACAAAATTTGATTTGCAGTCGGGATATCATCACATAGATATCGATCCTTGTTTTCAGCAATATTTAGGTTTTTCATGGAAGGGTAATTATTTTTGTTTCACTGTCTTACCATTTGGTCTAACTTCAGCTCCATATGTTTTTACAAAGTGTTTGAGGCCATTAGTAAATTATTGGAGAAAAAACAATTTAAAAGTAGTTCTTTACCTGGATGACGGTCTTATTCTGGCTATGTCCGAGGCAAAATGTATTTCAGCTACAGGATTTATTAAACAGTCTTTAGTTTCAGCAGGTTTTTTCAAAAACGAGAAGAAATCAATTTTCAGCCCTGTACAAGAAATTGAATGGCTTGGACTGGTATGGAGATCTTTAGATTTTAGTTTACGAGTACCAGAACAGAGAATAGTAGGCTTAGAAAATTGTTTAGAAAGAGTTTTGAATGCATTGCCTAATGTTTCTGCAAGAATTGTAGCACAGTTTACGTGAAAAATTATTTCAATGTTACCGGTTATGGGAAATGTTGTTAGACTTATGAGTCGTGCTTGCCACGTTGCTATAGAGAATAGGGTTTCTTGGGATAAAAAGTTAGATCATGTTATCTTAGATTCAATATTACCTGAAATGTATTTTTGGAAAAAGAACGTTAGATCTTATAACTGCAAAAGCCTTCAGAATTATTCAAGAAAGCATGTCATGATTTTTTCAGACGCTAGTGATGTTGCTGGAGCAGCACATACAGTAGAGTTGGATCAAAAGGTTTTTCACATTGGATGGAGCGAGTTTGAAAAAGAAAAGAGTTCTACATGGAGAGAATTAAAGGCTATAGAGCTTTGTTTATTATCGTTTCACAAAGTTCTTTGTGGAAAAACTGTGAAATGGTTTACTGATAATCAAAACTGTGTAAAAATCATTGAAAGTGGGAGTATGAAAAGTGATTTACAAGAAATTTCATTGGGCATTTTTCAGATTTGTCTGTCTAACGGTATTTCAATCGACGCTCAATGGATACCCAGAAATAAAAATTTCAGAGCAGATTATTTAAGCAAAATTATTGATTACGAAGACTGGGGGATAACAGATGAGTTTTTTGAATTTATGATCAGTATTTGGGGTCCATTTGACATTGACCAGTTTGCGAATTTTAAAAATACCAAGTTAGAACGATTCAATTCGTTATTTTGGAATCCTGGTACAGAGGGTGTAGACTGTTTTAGTTTTTCATGGGAAAGGGATAACAATTGGCTAGTACCCCCCATTTCATTGATTGGTAAATGCATTTTACATTTGATTGGAACTAAATCGAGAGGTACTATCATTGTTCCACATTGGCCCTCTTCTTATTTCTGGCCTTTGATTTTTGATGAGTATAATGAAACCATGCCCGTTGTAAAGGAGGTTTTAGAGTTTCGTGAAGGTTACAGAATTTTTAAACAAGGAGATAATAAGAATTCTATTTTTGGTTCTCTGGATTTTTATTCAAAAGTTTTGACAATCAGATTAGATGCAAGAATGTGAAATGGGACCTGATGTGCAAGGGCACATTGCAGAAGGTTTAACATATTATTGGTCCTGGTGCATGCGGTGCATTGCAGATGTTTTTATAAACGTATATATTGTATGATTAGTTGTCAAGAGAGATTTATTGGAAGATGCGTTAATCTTATAAGTGGTATCGGGTCTTGATATGCTAGAGGCATATTGCAGAAGTTTTATATGAATAACATTATATACGGAGGTCATGAATAATGAAATGTGTGTATATTTCGATGCATATACATGTAGGTAGTGATATTTTTTTTATAGATGTTTTCAATTATGCGTTTTACAGATATATTCCGCAAGGGAAGGTGGGCAGAAAACAGATCTTACGACAACCCAGAGCTGAATAGACTATCTGCCCTACTACCCGAGTACTGTCTAAAAGGAAAGGCAGAAAATACCAGAAAGAAATATAAGTATGCATTTAATAACTTTTGTGTGTAGTTCTCATTGTTCGAGTTTGTCATTTTTACCTTCAACCTTCAACTTTTACCTTCAACTGATATGACAGTTTCTATGTATTTGGTACACATTGGCCAGAATTTTTGCTCGTCAGCCAAACTAGAGGAAGCTGTAAGTGCTATTTCATGGGCTCATAATTTAGCAGGTTATTCAAACCCATGTCATTCTTCTTTAGTCACACAGGTCAAAGAAGGGGTACTGAGAGAATGCAGGAAACCGATCACAAAAAGGAACCTATTTTACCTCTTCATTTATTTCTTCTTGCAGAAAAGTATGGCAATGAAAACAGCTGTCTTCCAGATTTGCGAATCATTACAATTTGCCTTATAGGATATTCAGGTTTTCTTAGATTTTCGGAAATTGTTAACATCAGACGATCCGATATCTCATTCCAAGATCAGTATGTCTCCATATTCATTCCGAAAAGTAAAACAGACAAATATAATGAAGGTTCTCATGTTTGCATTGCAGAGACTTGTACCAAAACATGTCCTGTAAATTTTTTGAAAAGATATTTAGAATTAGCGGGAATAGAGAGTTCCTCAGATGAGTTTATTTTTAGACAAATTACATACTTGAAAAAAGCCGGTTCCTTTAAGTTAAGAAATACTAACAAACCACTGTCATATACTAGAGCAAGGGAAATTATTCTTTCTGCCTTGGGGGATATTGGTTTAGATAAGAAAAAGTTTGGATTACACAGTTTAAGGTCAGGAGGCGCTACAGCGGCAGCTGCTTCAGGAGTTAATGACAGAATTTTCAAAAAACATGGCAGGTGGAAAAGTGAAAAAGCAAAAGATGGTTATGTAAGGGAAACAAAGTCAGAAAAATTGAGCGTTTCAAAAAATCTGGGTATATAATTCAATTTTGCCCTATTGTAACTTAACTCTACTTTATTCTTTTCGAAATCTGAGTGCTTCGCCTCCTATTCTTTAAATAATGTGTTGTTTTATATGGTAAATGAATTATGTTCGTTTGAGTGAAACGAATTAAGAACATAAATGTATTTATCATGGGTGCTAAGCATTATTTGTACCCGTGGGAAAGTAGGCGGGTTTGTTTTGATACGGGTGTTGGATTTATACAATGATTGGCTATTTATATAGTAACAAGTACACATGAGTAGAGATGTTATTGAAGGGCGAATATTGTGTAAATGTGCCATTCGAAGGCTCAGATTCTAAATCAATTCCACGTTTTGGCATTATTCCCACCCACCCACCCATTATTACAATTTATAATTTATATTGACTGATTTGTTTAATGTATTGATGTTTAAATTTTTTTTTTTTGTAGTTTGATGAATGTATATGGATGGAGGTATAAGGGTACATGATGGTACATGAGAATACATGATGGTACATGAGGGTACATGAGGATTGATAATGTATATTATAATGTGTGAATAAATCTGAGTGCTTCGCCTCCTATCCTATAAATAATGCGTTGTTTTATATGGTAAATGATTTATGTTCGTTTGAGTGAAACGAATTAAGAACATAAATGGAGGATTTCAATGTTTTGTAGTTGGATATGGAATTTATTTCACAAGTGGGACATGATATTTTGATATTTTTTGAGTGTGAAGCATGAGTAAAAATTTTTTTAAAAATCCTGTTTTACTAGTGATTGTGAGATTGAAAACTTGTAAACATATTTCAGCAACATATTTGGAGAAACTTCGGCAGTTTTAATTTCTGTGTCAGGATGCTTTATTTACTTTCAGACTGTATTATAACAGTCTAGAGAGTACATGTATTTTTTTTAACAGCACCCATCATGAAGGGAAGAAAGTTGAGAGTTTTGCAGCACTTCTAATATTCTTTCACACTGTGACAAAATATCTCTTTTATTCAATTACAGTATTTCGATGTTAAAAATGTAATAAATGTTCATATGTGGCACACTTTTCCTAAATATCATTTAAAAGTTTTAGCTTTTTTTTTTTTTGAAAAACACGATTAGGTGATCAAAATCAATCTTGACATTTGAATGAAGTGATGTGAAACAGCATCATATATACATATTGATATTAAGGAAATTGATTAGAAAAGCAATGAAGTCAAGCAATTAAAAGTGGTATCAAATTGATTTTGACTATGGGTTCTTGATGAAATATCTTTTTCGGCTTGAAATAGGTTATACAGAAATTGATAGAGGATGGCATTCCAGTCTCCCAAAAAGAGCTATTTCAGACAGGGGGGGGGGGACCATTCAGAACTGTTGTTTATTGTGAATGAATGTGTCCGAGTTCAAACATATAATCTCCACCCTTCCATCAACAGGTATTATTGTTACTAAGGCATGGATTGGTTGATTTTTGTCATCAAGGCAAGGATTAGCTAATCCTTATTGCCAATGCAGGGATTGGCTATGGGACTTCAAATTCTCATTTTAAGCTCACCTCGACAGTCAAAATGAACTTACGCTATACCCCCCGTTGTCAAGGTTAAAGTTTTTGGAGCAAGTCCATTCCTAAATAGATTAACTATGATTCCTATGTTGACCAAA